AGAGTGAGGATGGGTTGGTGGTACTGTACAATCGGGTTTTTGCCTTCTTCTTCTTCTTTTTTCCCTCTTTTGTCCCCATTTGAGATGGGTATATGGTGTTTTTGATACCGTATATGGGTTTAGGAGGCTAGGTTATGTGGTACCTTAGGGTCGATGGTTGATCTTGTTTTTTTTGTTTTTTTTGCTTTTTACTTTTTTGTTCCTGGGATGTGGGTTTTTTGTATCGTGTTTTTTTATGGAGTTCGGGGACATTTGATAGGTTTTTTCGGTCGTATTGTGGCTGTGAAGCTTGAGGTTACTATTTGGAGTCTTCTGGACATTTGAGTCTAAGGTAGTTTACAGGAGGAGTATCCTGATGCAATTGTCCAGGGCATTGTCGGGATGTTTTCTGCAGGACTTGTACCGGTAAGCTCTGTTTGGTGCCTGGGTTCCCCCTTAGACATAAATCTGCGGAGTCACTTGGATCCTCACTCCCACAGGCCAATCTCCGCGTCTAGTCTTTGAGCAGGTCGCAGGAGCAATAGCTCCTTCATTGGTGATTCATCACTCTTAGAAACCTGATGAAACCACGACGATCAATAACGGAGAACGGAGCTTTGGCCCACAGAACCAGATCTCACCGCAGAAGAAGCATTGCGGGATTTAACGAACCGGGCATAGTGTCTACTCCTCAGCCAGCTTCAGCTAATATCCATCCTCTCAATCCATCAAACTCCACGCATTATCCCTCACCCGCAAACACAGGCATGTAATGAAACTGCCAACGCACCTGGGGATCCCCTCAAACACATGAAGAATGCCAAACCCAGAGCCTGACACCAGTAACACATAGTCTCAGGGAAACAGGCCCCATTATACTCAGCTGGCTGTCAACGGATGCGAACCCAGAGTAGCAACAGCTTGATATCCCCATGATTTCTCACAACCCCTTCCAGTTCCCAGTTTTTCGGTACCGTACTTGTGAATAATGAATGCCAGGAGTCCCACCCTCAAATATAATCGGTAACTCCCCGATGAGCATGTGTCTCCTTCCCCATTCCGTCCCATCCCTCGCACACTCCCTCCACTCCCGCACCTTGCCCACAGCTTGCCTCTCGCTTCATCCTCGTTTGGGTTGGGGACGGGGGTTAAGGGGTTCCTGTAAGCACTTCGGGCAGTTCCCCTCCTGCCCTGACGAATTTGTCTCCACGTGCGAGCTCTCTTTCGTGTCCGTCTGCAGTTTGTTATTAATCTCAAGTAGGTTCGTCTCAGCTAAGATGAAAAGCGGAGCTTGCTTATGGGAAGAGAATTCCGCCGTTGCATTTCAACTGCTCTCTAGGGTAATAGAGAACTCTAGTTCATTATCAATGGGGTCCAACCTCGGGGAGAAAGGGGGGCGAGAGGATAATAATAGTGTAAGAACTATATATATGAGAAAGACCATCAGCAATTTAAACGCCTTCCTCGGGTTGGTGGTGACTCCAGCGTCTATTTTCTATACCTCTGCTCACACGTTGGGTCTAAGTTAGCTGAGGTCACGTGAGATGAGTGATACGAGTGATCTTTCCTGATTCTCTGCACCGCGCTGGTCCGATCAGCGATTAAATATGGAAGGCGTTGAGGCGTGACTGGGGTATGATGGGTGATAGGGCAACGAGCATCACCGACTCCCTCAAAGGGCACATATCGCACTTGACCAGGGGGAAAAACGTTAACTCATTCTCACTTCTCGCCAGCTTATCGAGCTCGGCCCGCTGCCGACTATTCTACCGCCATGTGGAGGTCAGACCTAGAATGCTTAAAGCGAGGGGAGTAGCGGCCGAACCTGTGCTACTGTAAAAGCAAATAAGGACGTTAAATTTTTGGAGGGGATTCGCGGGGAGTGGGGAAAGGGGCGCAAGAGGGCGACCACGATAATCCCCACGACCCCCATAGCCAGTGGCGGACAAATATGATGACACGCTTTAAATGCTACACCCCTAAGTCAAATGCGGCTTTTTTCTAAAAAGTTAAAAATTTGACCAAATCTCCGCGCCAGGAAACATGATATCAGCGCCAAAAAGCTATCTGGCAATCTATTGTCACCCACCATACATATGAAAAGGTTAGAAAGGGGGTAAGTTAGAACTTACTCTATATATTATTATAAAAAATGTCACTAGATGTATTTTTTGTTATCAAATTTGATAATATTATTACCATAGCACCAGATGATAGCATTTGACAACATCCGAGAAAAATCTGATATAAAGCGACATTGGCCCAGTATCGTACCAAGTAGTTTCAACGCACTACGATCCCATCGCACAGTGGCGTCCCGGGCCCTGTATTTATTCCAAGACCTGTCATTAAAACGCAAATGTTTATGAATACGCCCTATGCAGCAGGACATGTGTCGTAATACATATTACCCTGTGTGTTCGGCCATAGAGTGATGAAAATTTCGCATCCCGTCCGCTCTGCGGTAAACAAGCATCACATCGCCTGGTTAGTACTACAGTGGGTGACCATGTGGGAATCCCAGGTGCTGAACTCTTCCGCTTTGTTTTTGTTTTTTTTCTACTCGACCGCAACTATGATATCACACCCCCGCCGGAAAATGGCCAATAATCCCTCTCCCCCCTCTCCTCGATCGAGTGAGCTTTCATGTTTATTGGGGGTGGGTATACCGTAAGAAGCCTAATATACGAACCGTGTGCCAGGACGCCGGAGTTTCCCCCTCCTCATATCGCCCGATGCCCTTTTCCCCCTCACTATAACTCCGTCTCAGAATGAAGTTTTTTTTGCTCTGCTATGCTTTCCGTCCCTTTCCCAGAGGAGGGGAATTATTTTTCGACAAGCCAGCACATAGTCCATTTATTCGAGTCCTTACGGCACTCTGCGCCCAGGAAGCGGGAACCGAGCAGCCTGTCTATGATACTATGATAACTCTTTTCAACAACAAGTTCCAAAACCGCAACAACTCCCACAACCTTCTCATTTACGGCAATACGCACATAGACACATCCTGTCTTTACGTCGCTTCACGTATGCCATACTTTTTCTTTTCTTTTCTTTTCTTTTACCCAATACGCTGCTGCAGCTATCAATCAACCATTTCAGGCTACATATCCGGCCACGGCATATGATACAATTTATGACATTCTTGGCGGATTACATAATTAGGCAGTCGGGGGGATTTCTAACGATACGATACGGTACGGTACCACCACAGCTAAGGCGACAGCGGTGTCATGGAGAGAAAGTCGTTACGGGGGGTCCTAAAAGTGGTGGTGGGGTGGGGTGGGGGAGCCGAATTGACGAATTGACGATTGACAAGCAGTGATCATAAGGTATCACTCGGTATTCAGTGGTGGATTTTAAGGAGACCACAGAGAGAGGGAGGGAGGGAGGGAGACGACGACATCCGACAGCGGATGTTTTGAGAATCCCGGGAATAGCACTCGCACACCCACACGCACCGGATCCGGGCGATTTCCTCGTTCCGCTCCCTCCTCCTCGTTCCGCTACGGCACTACGGTACGTACGATACTTTACTACTACTATACTCACTTCCGGTCGCCACCAGGTGCTGCACCAAGATTTTGGAACTGGCAACCAAGCACGCATCGGCTCGTATATCCCTTGCCCGAGGGAGGGGAATGGGCACAATTGTGAGCTCTCTCGTACCTACCTGCAGGATATGATACAAGGCGGGGGCTGAAAGTGCAATAAGGGCTTCTAGAAGGTTGTAAAGAAGTTATCATATTATTATTTCGTTGCTTTTTTTTTTTTTTTTTGTTTGGAACGGGGAGTGGAAGTGGGGGATTGCTTTTGCCTTTTGCCCCGAGGAAGGGTGTGCCGCGTAGCTTGCCATGTCTAAGGCAAGAAGGAGTATTGTGGTAAAGTAGCGTAACCTATAGTTTGCCTTTTTTTTTTTGAATTTTCTGTCGCGAGAGTCGTGGGAGTCTCTTTCTTTCTTCCTTGCTTGGGGATAGGGGAGGGGGAGAGCGATGTGTTTCCAGGTAGATGCGGTTTTTGTTATAATACGCCGGTGCGTGGGTTGGAATAACTTGGCAAGATGTCATGGGCGGGGAGATGTCCTGGCGGTGATGAGCCCGAGAAAGAGCGGGGTTATGGATCGGAGTCATATTGCATCGCAAGGGAGGGGATGGAGTAACTGCTGGTTCAGATGGTTACCGTACCACGTTTGTGAATCTTAAATCTCGATAAGGAGTTTTTGATAATCGTGCTCTTGCGGGTGGAGGTTAGCCACTCGAGTGAATGGGTGAGAGGATGCTGTGCGGTACCGTACAGTACGTTCCACAGAGCCGGGGAATATCAGCAGTATCCACACAAAAAACCGAGACTCGATAAGGATACTCAACTCCTATAGAAGCAGCTAAACTAAGATGTGATAATACAACTATGATACTTACCCACCCACCTGTACGAGTACTTTCCTAGCCAAGCAATCATCCACGCACGAATAAACAGAACAAAACGAAGACCAAAAAAACAAAAAAACCACTCGCAGCCTCAAGACTCCCGCAAAAACGGACCGCTATTGCCCACTACCCGATCCTGAGGCTCTGGCCTATTTTTAGTCGTATTTCCACCACTGGCCCCACACCGCACTATCCATACACACCGCAAGATTACTACCATACATGCACACACCCCACACCATACCATACCATACCCAAACCCTCGGAATCAAGCCCGAGTGACGACCCGTGCTGTACAGTACTTGTACTATCCTCCCCCCCCCCACCGTAGCTCCACTCCCGGACCAGCCTTACCCAAAGCAATGACACAACGTCGCACTGCCGGTGCAATAAGTTCCTCACGACGGACAGAGAGGGTGGAGGGGTGAAGAGATAGGGTTTATCCGCGGGTCCCCGAGCACGTGTAGCGGATAGGATGGGTAGGGGTATTTGAGAGATTTTGTCGGGGACGTCCCATACCGGTACTTTCAGTACCGTGGTTGGGGACTTGCAAACCTGCAGTGGGTGAGAGGGAATGGAAACGGAAGGATCACGCGTGGAATTCGCCCCATCCCCCCACCCGGAATCTATGGTGGAAAATCGTACTTAATGTGCTTGCTTACTTGTGCCCATGTGGAATGGAGTACCGTGGAACCATGATAGGGAAAATACAGTGCGGTAGATTCGCAATCTACACCCCCCCCCCATCCATGAACTGAAGCCGCCCGAGCGGAACGCGCAACCGGTCAGCCTCGCCTAATGCTCGTCATGTATTATCACTCGTTATTTCGTGGCGGTATCTGTTGTATCAAAAATCTTAATTCGGTGCTCTACTCCCTTCTGCTTCCTGCCCAAGCGGAGGCCTTATATACTACAAGTACATAGCAGTCACACCACACAACTATGGTAGTGATGAGGTGGTCATATCGGCTCCTGTATACTAAAGGTATACGATGATGTCAACTACAGGTAACCGGATCCTGAGAAGCCACATATTCCAACAGTATCTGACGTCCTCTTAGTTGGGTTGCGGAACAGGGCGAATCGCACCGTGGACTGGTGGACTGGTGGTGAATGCTTTCTTTACCAGTGAGGGCCTAGGCCCGGCATGCGAAAGTTACATCCCACTGAGCTTAGCAGCCCCGAATGCCCAGCACTTCATCTGCGCCCGGGATAAAGATCGGTGAAAATAGTATTATAATATTATGTTTCAGACACTTGGCTATCTTTTTAAAAAAGATTTGCTCCAAAGCCCATTGTAAGGGAATTCGTGGAATAAATAATAGCACAGTGTCGGGGGTTTTGAAACCCTTATTTCTGGTACGATCTAGCTTCTACCCCGCAGCCCGACAGAAGGTGGTAGATGGCCCTCATTCCCGCATTCTATAAATTTACTCTACGGGAGAGTGATGAGGGGTTCCTACGGTACGTTGACTGTGGTACCTATTATCGAATAAAGGTTTCATAAAGGAAGGGCCCGTTGCGCGGAAGGTTCGGCTCAGTTAGGGATTTCGGTAGGGCTTGGATTTGTTACAGGGCGATATAATAATAGGGCGGTAAGGGGTTGTTGTTTGTCCATAGTGTGGTCTGGATTGAAACGGTTTTTTTTTTTTCGGAGGGTTTCGCGTAGCGCGGTCGGTTGGTCGGAGTGGGGTGGGGTCGCCGGCGGGGCTGGATCGGATCGGGATGCCGGGTTGGAACAAGGTTTTCGGCCGGGTGATGTAGGTTAAGTTACTCGAGTACTCACTCAGTAGTGGTGGGAGGCGTGCTGTAAGTACGCGAGGTTGGGATTTTCCATGCAAGAGATGGAATTGGATGGAGTACGGTACGGTACCGGTACGGTAGTTATTGTCTTGTCTCGCATGTAATGTGCCAGTACCGGTACTGTGGGGCGGCGAAGAGGAAGCCGGTTGGTGGAAATTTCGTCGGTTATGGGGGAAGGTGTGTGTGAGGTATCGAGGGTACCGTGCCCTCGATGTGCACAGCGTCGTATGAAGGGGACGGAAGGGGAGGGGCGAAGTACGGGTATCATACAAAGCGAAGGGCGAAGGTGAAGGGGGAAATAAGGCTGCAGGTACAAGTACGGCTGGCACAGTCGGCGCAGTACTTGTACTTGTACGGTACGAGTACGAGTACCGTACTTGAGAAGGCTTTCCCCTGACCACCATCCCGCGCGTGGCCATGAGTGGGGTTTGCCTCACGGCAGGCTTCGTCTATGAAATGAGGTTGGAATGGATTGCGGATCGGACCAGGATGTAATAATAAAATCATTTCCCCAGGAGCAAATCTCGTAGGGAGAGTCTGAGGGAAATCACTGCTTAGGTGTCAATCCCAACACAAAACCCTTGTATTACTGTGTATGATACCGGTCACTTCTAGCTACTAGCAGAGTTCGGATGATTTCTCGTGAAGCTGGCCTCCCTCTGACCTTTCCCTTTCCTCCAACCCTCCAGCACCCACAATCCCTGTCATCTGTAAATTACTAAGCAAATGAACAGGCATTCCGATTTAATATGCGTAATCTCCCCACACGTTGCGATCTCCGGTGTATTTTCTTTTTGTTTTCTCGAGAAAAAAAGGAAAAAAAGGAGCGTCACTTATGTACCAGGATGTTTTGGAGGAAGAGTTTGCAAAACGAACCGCGCTCGCAGATCGCTCGACCGCAAGTCGCTCCACCCAATGAATGCAAATGAGGATATTGAGAGTCGAGAAGGCAGAAAGAGAATGGGGAGAGTGAGGAGAGCAGGGAGCCGAAGAGGAGCGAAATAGTTATTTCCCTCGAATCTAGAAGGAACGCGGTATTAGTCCACCTTTGCATTTTTTCACTCTACTCGAGCACGAGTATCCCCCCTCCTCCCCCTCTCAGGTCGGTCTCGTTTGAACCTCATCCACAGCATTCTGGTCTAAGGCTTCAAGGCATTTTTAAATCTTGGTAGGTGTCTTGTTTTCTTCTTTTTTTATATATATCGTAGGGATTATCGCTACTGAAGGCCTTCCGAGCCACGATCGGCCGAGAGCTGAAGCGTACTCGAGTAAAGGGGGAAAAGTGGGAGAGCAGAAATGGGTGACTCGGTTATTGGATGTTGAACACGCTTTGATGATGATGGTGGGTGTGCTATCATACTCGTATCAAGGTGCGGGTGACCACTCTTCACCTAACCCGAGCAGGGCTTTGAGGGTCGGGAGGAGCCTTGACCCTCTCCTGCTCCCGTTCTGCCAAGGTGGGCTCGCCACGGGTAGGACCGACCGAAAGAGTTGCAGTCTGCAGAATTCCTGCTCCCTCTCCCTCACTTGCATCTTGGCCCTCCCTTCTACATACACCTTCCTTGCTGAAAGAAAGCCTGCACAAGCGTGCGAGTACATACCGGTACATCTTTACTCTCGTATAATTCTTTTCTTCTTTTCTCTTCTTTCATTTCCTCGAACACGCTGTTCGCCAGTGGACATTATCTGGCATACAGTGCCGGTATTGTGCATCAATTAGCCTCTGCAACTTTGACCGTGTTCGTCCTCGCTGTCGTGTCGTTCATCTCTTTATTGGACAGCTCTGTTGGTCGGGCCTGGATTTGGCCATTGGAAGGTAATAAATTCAACCTACGGTAGGGGCGATTTGGGCGAGAAAAATAATAATAATAATTTAATAATAATCATAAAATATTATTATTTAGTCTAAGGCAAGAAAAGGCCACTCGAGAGAAAAAAGGAAAAATAGGAAAACTGACCCCAAAAAAAGTGCACGACCCCGTTTGCCTCCTCCATTGTTACTGCTATGATACGTACCTCTTTCCTCTCTGTTGTCCACTTTTCCCCCCCTTCTTTTGCCCCACGAAACATTCCTAGCATATCGGTTCGTGTCCCTTCGTTTTGCATCCGTCCTTTCTTACTCCTGGTAGTACTGCTGGCTGGCTGGCGTTTCTTTGCCTCTAAAATCCTACTGGATAATACATTTCCTCTTCTCCCCCTTCCTCCGCACACGACAACGTACAAAGGATAAAAAATAGAAGAAACATACCCCCCTCCCCCCGCATCCCCGCTGTCAGCCATACTATCATATAGTATCACCTGCTCCACCCCTTGGTTGACTCTCTCCACGCTCCGTCTCCGTCCATTTATCCATCCACCCATCCCTCCTCGACTAACTTGATTCACACTCCCCTGTTGAACCGTTGAGATTTCTATCATACCGCCCACACACCACAAACCCATCCCTAAAATCAAACCCCCATCCTTCGACCTCCCTTTCTTAGTGTCAACCCTTATCAAATCACTTCTCCCCCCCCCATCCTCTTGAAGGTCTCGTGGTCCACTCTCCCCCATCCTGACCCGGCACTCTTTCCATTACCGGCTCCCCCGGATTCGTCTTCTTCCCAAAAGTTTGCTTTTCCGATTGCTTGATTCATTCACTCCTTTGCTGTGTTTCCTTGGGTTCTTGATACCCTTCCTTTCCTTAAAAAAAAAAACATGCCCAGCACCCCTGCTACTTCACCATCCCGGCCAAGGTCAGCACTCAAGCGTCTGCCGTCGTACAGATCCCTTTCATTCTCAACCAACAGGCTCTCTCTCTCTCACGTCACGCCGGACCCTACGAATCGCTGCCCGCTGAACAAAACCGATGGCTCCTCGAGGATAGAGAACTTTTGTTCTCACCCCATCAAGACCACCAGCAGTGGTGTTCGAAAGCTCCTACGAAAAGCTTCCCACTCACTTCGCTTTACACACTGCAATGAATTGTTGGACGGTATGAAGAGAGACAAGTGTCCTGGTACTGGTACCCTAGGGGATGGTGAGAGTGGCATTGTTATAGACGACAAGGACAATGATTGCTTCTACGCTATTGATACCACGGTAGCCAGGAAAGGTTCGTGTGGTTTGAGAATTCTTCGGGGGTTGTTCCTCTGTTTGGCGGTTCCTCGCTAATCACATCGTTGTCTGTAGATTTCGTTAAATTCCTCCCTCCCGAGATCTCTGCCCATATCTTCTCTTTCCTGGACCATCAGAGCTTGGTAAATTGCGAATCGGTATCCCATGCCTGGATGGTAGCTGCGCGCGATCGTCATGTATGGCGCAACGTCTTTCATGCTGAACACGGTCCGTGGAAGTCAAAGCCTGGGAATGATTGGAAGAGGATGTTCAAGGTCAGACAGGAGCTTAATCTCAGGTGGACGCAGGGCCGTGTTACCGCAAAATATCTCAAGGGACATACCGACAGCATCTATTGCGTGCAGTTTGATGAGTAAGTTACGTTGTGGAGTTTTTTTCCAGCTTCGGATTGGCTAAATTTTGGTGTCACAGTAAGAAAATTGTCACTGGTTCGAGGGATAAAACCATCAGGATCTGGGATATTGCAACTGGGGAATGCATCAGGGTCCTCGGCCGGGGCTCTCGTTTTTCATCACCACCGCCCGTTGCTAGCGGCGACATTTCCACACCACGCACGAGTTTCTCGGACTATCACAGGGCATCAGTCCTTTGCCTCCAGTTTGACGACGAGATACTCGTTTCTGGATCATCCGACCACACTTGCATAGTTTGGTCTGTGCACACTTATACGCCGTTGATGCGACTCGCGCACCACACTGCTGGTGTGCTCGATGTGTGTTTTGATAAGAAATATATTGCTTCATGCTCCAAGGATACCTCCGTTTGCATCTGGGATCGTAAGACAGGAAGGTTGTTTCGCCAACTTGCCGGGCATCGAGGGCCGGTGAACGCGGTTGCCATTCGTGGAAATTTGATCGTCAGTGCTTCGGGTGATGCTTTGATTAAATTGTGGAATGTAGATACTGGAAAGTGTATCCGGGATTTCGTCGGTCATGATAGGGGCTTGGCGTGTGTTCAGTTCAGCGAAGATGCTAGGACAATTGTTAGTGGTGGTAACGACCAGGACATTAGAATTTGGGATGCTGCTAGTGGGGAATGCATTAGGATTTTGGTGGGACATCAGTCTCTGGTTCGCACGCTGCACCTGGACTCCAGGAATAGGCGGATCATCTCGGGATCCTACGACCAGGTATATTATCGTCTTCCAACAATGCTCGCTAATATCCTCAGATGCTAACCGGTGAAAATAGAGCGTAAAAGTCTGGGATTTGGACTCGGGGAAGCTTGTCCTCGACATCCAGCGGTTCCACTCCACCTGGATTTTGTCCGCAAAGGCCGATTATAGGAGGATTATTAGTACTAGCCAGGATAGCCGCACCCTGATGCTTGATTTCACCACCGGAATGAAAGATCTGGAGGTCTTGGAGTAGTAGTCAACCCTACTGCCCAAGATTTGACTGCCGAATGCGCGCTGTTGAGACACAGATGCTGAGGAAAACATGGGTTGTACGATGCAATGTTTAGTCTCCTTTGTTGGTTTCTATATTCGGTATTTTATTTCTTGTTTCTTCAGGTACCCTTTTTTCCACCAACTGGAACCCTCGATCATAGATTTAATCCACCGAAAGAGGGTCAGCTGGTTATGGTGATTGGTGTGGTGTCAACTGTACTTGCTTGTTTTATCCTTTTATTCTTCATTGTCTATCGATATCCCTTCTCTTTAACCTTCCTAGTCGGAACAGGGGCGTACCGGGTCGTTTTCTTCTATTTTTTTTCTTATTTTTTTTTTCCCTTCTGGTTCCGGTTGGTGGGAGGCATTTTTGGTATCTTTATTTGGCAACTGCTTTATTGTAGTTTTTTCTTCCTTTTTTGAAACTCCTGTCTATGAAATCCTTATTCCCTCGTACCCCCCCCAACGTTTTCCTGGTTATATCTCCTTTCATGAATCTGGCGAAATTAGAAAACGGAGGTGTTAGAGATTATTTTTACCTTTTTTTGCTCCCCTTTTAATTCGATATTTTTTGTGCTTTTAACCTATAGCACTAGTATCTGGTGGCTGGCTTTCTCCTCTTTTTTTCTTTGGTACGCTTTCCATCCTTTTAATTCCTTTGTACCTATGGCGGGGTCCGGTATGGTTTGGTAGGTTGCCGGGTCAAGTGACTTGGTTCGGCAGATGGCATTGGTGTATCATACAATACCTATGTACGGTACTATGGCGGGGTGGCGCTAAAGTAGTTGCACTCACAACGAGATTGCACCGAAGGCGAGATTCCTTACCGACAAACCGATAATCGAGGCGAGAAAATTTCCCTTAAGGGAAATAATCTCGCTGTGGGTGCAATCTTGTTGCGGGTACGACCGCTTTAACGGTTAGCTTGAGGAATATCGTATTACAACCTTGTTACTAGTACCGGGAGAGAAATTGGGGGGGGAGGGCTAGGGCGAGTGATGGGTTGTGATTTATGATGATGCGGGATTGCAGTGCGGTATTCTCTGCGCGGGGTAACTTTTGCACGTATTTGGCGTGCACCTGCATAAGTGGGCTTTAAGCATACTCTATGACATAGCACCTATCTTCACGATGGCGCTGCTGCTCCCCCCATCAAAACCAAACCAAATTCCAAACTTCAACCCCCCTTCATGCGCCAGTATGATACGATTCCTTACCGCATTTTTTCATACAATGGTGGACTCGGAGTTATTATAATACCCTAATAATATCACCGCCATCAGAAGAAGGAAAGGAGAAAAAGGCTCTCTGACCCAGCCAAGAAACATCGGATATCTGAAAAAACCTCGTACCCCAGTTCACCCCTGCCACCATCACTCGCTCGCCCACTCACTTCCAACGACACCCTCGACGGAGCCACCCCAGCCTCCGCATTTCACCCAAGCCACCAACCAGCGCACCAATCAATCCTCCTAACAACGTCGCTAACGTGTCGCGTCGTCGTCGTATTCAAGGCATGTTACCTCTGCGCAAAAGCCCAGCGACGTCACTGATATGTCGGATGGGTGAGAGTTGGTACTATATGTGATGAGAGGGTTTCATTCCCGCCCGTCCGGTCCTTCGATCTTCGGAAGGGGGAATAGAGTCTGTTGGTGGCAATTTGGCGTGTCTTGCTTGCTCGAATGATGAGGAGGGTGGAGGCTGGAGTGGTTTGCTCCCGGTTCCGTCGCGTGTCGTTCTGGAGGGACGTACGTGTCTGTGTGATGGACGCTTGCTATCCTCTTAATCGCGTTACGGAAGTACTAGTACAGTACCTTGGAACCGTAGTTGCGGTATCGGGGTTCCGTATCGTATCGTGCTCGCGTCGGCCGATAATGATTCCGGTTGCTGTTTTTTTTTTTATAGGGGGGGTAGGGTTTGAGACAGCGGGTTTCCCCAGTGCACTTGACTGGACCCGGAATTTCTCCTCCCGGCTGGCACGAGTGGTTTAGGCTGGGTGTCGATTTCATCTGGGGTTCTTCCTTTCTTGATCGAGCGGTTTATAAAGTTTTATACTATCTGATTCCAGCACCAGGCAGGATATCTCCGCTTTGCTCGGGTGTTGTGGTGTATCATACCCGACCGGTCCTTCCGCATTGGTTTGTCCCCATCGTAGGTATTCCTCGTATGATACCCTTTCTGTAATCTTATCGAGCCAAGGAGGGTTTCGGTATCGTGGGGGGGGAATGGTTGCGCTGCTCTAGTTATCTGTGGTGCCGGATGTGACGTTGCCGGTGTGTCGACCAACGGTCAAGGTTGCTCCCTTCTCTCTAGACTACCATGGGTAGCTACAGCGCTTAGACTTCTCCGGCGCCCTTTCGGCATGCTGGATAATCTTCATATACTGCACTATACTCCGCCGCCACTTCCGGTCTGGCAACTTTAGCTTGTCACGCTACGGCGCCTTTGTAAAGCCGCTGGAAAGTGCCTGGCCGCTAAGGGTTGATTCGCTGTGAGTGAGAGAAAAAGCTACTGATACAGTCGTCACATAAAATCAAAATCAAAATCAAAATCTAACATTTTAAAGCCTTACGGTTTCTAGGTCACAGCACCCGTACAGTACGTACAGCGCCCATTCACCTATATACAGTAGAGTGTTTCACCACCGCGCACAGCACCACATAGCACGATCACAAGTCGCAATATAACATTCCCAGCTTACTCGCACCGATATCACGGCCGCGCAGGCATTCACCAGCCGGGGAATCACCCCAGCGTCGATCACACCGGCTGGGCAATACATATAGCCCCCATCACTCCCAACCTTGGGCGGGAGGAGGTGTGGCCGACGGCGAGTAAGTAAGTAAGCAACAGGAGCACGCATTCCCGTGAACTGTCCGCCATCCATCCACCACCACTAAAATCAATTATATATAATAAAAAGATTCAAATACCGGTACTTCCTTCCCCATTTCCCCTCCCCCCAGGGACGATGTGAGCCCTGCTACCCGTCATTGGACGCGACTACCAACAACTCTATTTCAAGTCACTCGTAATCAATCGCTAGACCCGCTTATCTTTGTCACGACTGATTACGCAGACTGAAACCTTCTTCCTGCGCGGTCGCAGTGTCCACAGCGCGGCGGCCAGTATCATACATAACTCGAGTATCGTGCCGTAAGACTTACGAGCTAACCGCCGCGCATGCTGGCACTCGGCACAGATGGGTATTTATCATAACTTGCATGTAAGTGGGTGAGTAAGCGCAGGGCTGTGCTGCCGACGTATCGTGCAGTATCATATGATACCGGGGTTGGAGCGGTGATGGTACTGTAGGTAATGGTGATCGGGAGCTTCATATCATACTTGTGTCATACGTTGAGGTAGAGTATGTGAGGGGTGGGGTAAAATCCCGGTATTCAAGTATCGTACCGGTGGCGGTGGTGAAGGTTTGGAGGGACTTGTTTTGATGGGCGATTCTGAGGTGTCTTCACCTAATTCACTACTGTTCTGCTGTTACAGTATCGTGCGTTCCCTTCCTAGATATATAACTCGCCGCGGGATAGTTCTACCAGCGTGCGAGCAGGTTATCATACCTCCCTCCTTCGCCTCATAACATGCCGTACCCATAATCGCCATACATCATCATCATCATCTCTCCTCCGGATAACTATTCTATTGGTAAACCCGACTTCCTTTTCCCCCCTCATCCAACCCCCACCACCCATTACCGGCCAGTACGGCGGTGATCCCCTCACGAATAATCACTCGCTCCAAGAGAAACTGCAGATCACTCCATTGTGTAGAGTACGCTGCTCATCCACCCACCCGTTTGCGCACTCACCATACCGCAAGATCTCCGTAAATCTTTCTCTCGCCACTCCTTCCCCCACTTCTCTCTCATACTATACGTGTGCTATACTCGGCACGCATACAGTGCGCAAATCCGTGGGCAGCGGAAAGAGAAAAAAAAAATCTCTCAGCTTCACGAGCTTGAGCACTTACCCACCCCAAGACAATCTAACAATCTACAAGTACCGAACTATCGAAGTATACGGCAGTGGGGTACGAGTACGGTACGGTAGGTGAAGGGAAGGGATCCGTGGGTTTGGATGGATTTATTGCCGTGCTGTTGCAGTGCTCGTACCGGTACAAGTATTTCCACGACCGGTACTCGAGCGCTGTACCGGCACGTGCTTATACCACCCATCCAGAGAAGTGGAGGGGGGAAGCTGAAACTGGTCAAAGTTATTCTCCGATTTGTCGGTCCTTCTTTCGTCAGATGGGTGGTGGAAGCTGAAACGTTGAAGGGGTGGAATATTTTCTCGCGGCGCTTATTTGTGGTGTACGGTATGTTAATTATGGTGATGATAAGCTAACTTGTTTTTTTCTCTTTTGCCTCCATGGTCAGAAGCCTTAGTCTGCTCAAGTGCTTGAGTATGATACTCGTACTGTACGAGTAGTCTACCGGTAGGAGAGGGTCTCGGACAGCCCATCATGAATGATTAAGCCTTTTTAACCCACCAAAAAATGGATCTTAGATAGCTGGTAATTTCTTTGTGGCATAACCAGCAATGCTATGACATCTGTGGCTTGCGTGCAACCATCTTTCCCAAAGATGGGGTGCAGGTTGTTAGGTTATTGACACATTCGCCCTCCAGGGCTGCACATAGCCAGTTGAACCAGGGTCGGTGTAACTGGGATAAATTTATTGAAATCGCACAACTTACAACCATAGGACCGGACACTGCAAATCGACATGTTATGGTAGTGTTTTGCTGGCGGATGCAGAATAGGTTTTTAACTAGGACAAATTTAAGACATTAAGACATGTGTTAATGACCACTTATTAAGCAGATAATCACTTTCCTCCTTGGGTTTGAGCGGTTTCAATGCAGCAATAATCGACAGATTTGTTGCCGCATTTGGCGTAGCGTCACCAAGATATTCATCGATACGGTTAGCTTGAGTGATGATCGGCAGCTTTCAATCAAAACAAAACGCTGAGCGGCCCTAGCATCACGGCAAGTGGATATTTCTTCAAACCTCGCTGTAGCTCTCTAGATAATGACAAAGCGGTCACCTTTACAGAAGCATCTGAGCTCGCGGGTTCTGGTTGTTGAGCTGCTCGAGTACCGGTACCGGTATCTGGGGTTGGCTGATGTTGATTTGCATCGTTCCAGCGCTGTGGCGCACAAACACACAGACACACACACACCCCTTGGGGGAGCGGAACGGTTAGATCTTCTTTGACGTTGGGGTTGGTGTGCTCCGTCCGCTCCGGTGGGAGAGTATTGATTGGTCGGCTCGGTTTGGTTGGTGGGATTCCCGTGATTTGATGGTTTGCTTTGCTCGTTCGGTTGTGCGTGCGATTGCCTTTTGTTGATACCGGTATGAGTGACTGTATTGGCAGCAGGTGGTGGTCATGATGAAGATTCTAGGCTGCTCTTGAATAAAGGAGTTTGTCTGGGGGGGGAGGGGGTTCATCTCCGGTTCGCAGTGCTCTGTTTGGACGATGGGGCGTGAGTTGATCTTTTTGGTTGATTTCGTTTTTGGCGTGTGATTGATTGCTTGGGGATTTCAGACCGATGGGATATCATAGGGGAGAAGGTTTGATGGGTTGAATGAAAGGGAGAGATAGGTTGCGCTGATTGATCGATTGGGTTGAGTGGATGGGAGTGCGACATGGCGGACGGGTGTGCTCCTCCCTCATCAGGAGAGATCTGCCAAGCAACCAGCCGTTGGTAGTGGAAGGTGTATGACACCAGAGAGAGCAAAGCGAGCACAGCAAGCAAAGCAAGCAGTAATTAACCAAAGCAGAGCAGGCAGAAGCATAGAAATCAGACATACAGGAAAGACAGAGAGAACCCCTCGGAGTCCTCTCCATTCACCACACCCACCCTACCTATCATAGACCACCTACCGGCACTGCTCCTCTATCTATCTACCTTGTCCCACCTCCTCCTTCGCCGTCTCCTTCGCCTCGCTCGCCCCTCGCCTTTTTTCCCCCACAAAAACACCCAAGATTGCATTTCTCTGGTAAAGCTTCTGTTGGGAGTTTTTCCGCGAGACCTTGAACGGGTCTCATACCATACTCTCGTGGCAGCAGCTACTACGGCTGATTACAGTATCGGTCTCCGGTTTATCACACTTTTTCGTTCCTTAATCTCGGTATCTGTTTTGCTCCTCACGTCCTGTTTACTGTCCCGGTACCTTGACTTGAGCCCTTCCTCGCCTGAGCACATCATTTGTATCGTCGCTTTGTCGTCGGGCATAACCATCCATTTCCCACAAGGCGGGCACCGGTACGTCTATCTTGCCTGGTAGGACCCCTCCCCTCATTTATTGCACTCCCTTCCTCTCGCTTCATTCCGCCCTCCTCTCCTTTCCTCTCCTTTCCTCTCGTTTAACTCACCCCACATCCCTCCCATCTCTCCTTCCTCCTTTGCCCACACCCGGCGGTGGCCCACTGTCGTTCAATAGTTTGCCCTTGTGTCCTTCGTTCGTGAGACTTCCCTTGCCTTTTGTTCCCCTCGTTCTCCGTGGCTTTAGACACGTTCCATTCCCGCTTTGTGCTGCCTTTGGACCACCTCTTTGACTCTACACACGACTGCCGTTCCCCCCTCCCTTCTATTCCCGCCCCCCCGCCCCCCGTCCCCCTCCCCCAATACTATCGTCATCCTCGATAAGACAACCATCCTCGCATTCCCCTGTCGCCAGTCCTTGTCCTTGTCCTTGTCCTCTCCCTTACCTTTGAGTTCACCATATCGCATTATTCCAACGAATCTCTCGCTCACACTTCCTCGCTAGTCGAGTACGCCGACACGTCGCTCCGACTTCTTTCCTTCAGCCGTCATCCCGAAACGAGGATAAATAGTCTGAAGAAATCTCACCGGGTCCCTTTCGTTTAGATTTACTTTTTTGTATTTTTTATTCTCCTTACCAGCCATCTACGTACCCACCATCTTCCTAACGTTGCTGTCAATCACCGGAGCAATTAATTACCCTTACAACTATCGATCTAGATCGCAAAGTAACAACACATTGACGAAAGCTCAACGAGGGGCAATAGATAAATTCTCAGGATTGTAATCTTCTGGAGAAAATATTACCCGATCCTTACGACGTGAGTCCCCTCTTTTTTTCTTCTTATTTTTGAATCCTCTCAGCCTTTCTTTCCTACCTCTTTCTCCCTCCAATTATTTTCCTCCCCTCACCTCCCTTGCTGTTGAAACGCCCATGCCTCTAAACTAACTCTCCTTTCCCGCTTCTCTTACAGCTTTTCCTCCAGGGCACTCTGAACATCGTGGTCACATATCTAGTTTTTTAACACTCCACTGCCGAACCATAAGGGACTCGGACACCTGCCGTTTTCGCTATCATAACTACTATCCATGTCGGCACCTGCACAGCTTCTGCGGCCGGCGAATCCGCACAATGGGCCCAGGGTTCCCCGGCTGGGCCTTTCGATCCCGCCTCAACCTGGCTCGAGATCCGTCGGTGCTCCCCAACTAGTCGGCCCCGCACGTGCCCCCCCTCAGCTACGTCTGGCTACTCCTGGGAATCCTAGTGCCAATGGAATTCAACCAGTAGATCAGAGACGGGCGCAGGCATATGCTAGCCCGGTGAATACCGTTAACAATCAGTACTCGGCTCTGGGTTATGCTATGGGGTTAAAAAATCAAGTGCGGGGTTCTCCAGAAACTGCTGTTCCACGAATGGCTAGCCAGGAAGGCGCAAACAAGAAGACTATTGACTGGGACAATGATAATTTAGACGTGGAGGATCTTGATGATGAGGGGTGGAAGAAGGCCAGTGAGGATGGGAGGATCGTGGAACTGGGAGGTTTAGGTGAAGGGGCTGGGGGAGCGGTCACTCGCTGTATGTTGAAGGGCGGAAAGACGCTCTTTGCTATGAAAGTACGCACAATCTCCCCTTTTCTTCTGAGGCGGGGTTGGGCTTGGCGTAACTTTACCCACTGGTATTGATTATACGAGATACGGGTATTGGTTGGGACACGTTGTGGGTGCCGGAGGGTGCCCGTTTAGATTTCACTTTTTTTACTAACTTGGATATTGATTCTCAGATCATCACAGCAGATCCTAATCCCGAGATTCGAAAACAAATCTTCCGTGAATTAAGCTTCAACAAGGAATGTAATTCGCCCTATATCTGCAGATACTTTGGTGCATACACGGATTTATCTTCCGCCACGATTTCCATTGCTATGGAGTTCTGTGAGGGTGGGAGCCTAGATAGCATTTACCGAGAGGTAAAGAAATTAGGGGGAAGGACTGGAGAGAAGGTCCTGGGGAAGATTGCTGAAGGGGTGTTGGAGGGGCTGACGTATCTGAGTGGGAGAAAGATCATTCATCGAGGTTGGTCTTGCGAAATTTGATATGTAGACCCGAGAGCTAACCCTATTCGATGGGAACTAGATATCAAGCCATCCAACATCTTACTGTGCAGAGATGGGCAAGTGAAATTGTGCGATTTTGGTGTTTCCGGAGAACTCATTGGATCTAAGGGGAATGCGGATACCTTTATTGGCACTTCGTACTACATGGCTGTAGGTTTGCCCTGTGGTTATGCTTTACGTGTTAAATGTGCTAACGGTTTATTTAGCCCGAGAGAATCCAAGGATTCTCCTACACCATCACCTCCGATGTCTGGTCTCTTGGCGTTACCCTTCTCGAGGTGGCCCAGCACCGTTTCCCATTCGGCGAGGAGAGCGACAGTACTAATGCCCGGTACAACCTTATTGACCTTCTTACCTATATTGTTCAACATCCTATTCCGGAGTTGAAGGACGAACCCAATCTTAAGATCAAATGGAGTCACAACTTCAAATACTTCATCGCTTGCTGGTATGTTGGTCAGTTTCTAGCTCGGGGGTAGCTGTACTAATTGTATACCTTGTAGTCTCGAAAAGGACACTCAGAGACGCGCCAGTCCATGGAGGATGCTGGAGCATCCATGGATTATGGAGATGAAGAATAAGAAGGTCAACATGGCTAATTTCCTTTCGCAAGTTTGGGACTGGAAATGAGAGGTTGTGTAAGGTTTCAAAAGTTTTTTTCTGGGGCGCAAAATTGGGAAATGATTTTTCGTGTTTAAATTAAGGGTGTCCCGCTTAACTATTTGTGAGACGGTAAGAGAATAAGATATCACTCTCCCGCATCCGGCATAAAGTTTTGCTTGGTTAACTCCCTTCTCATCTCTATGTTCTTTTCTTTCTTTCCTTCTTTCTTTCCTTCTTTGCTATTGGGTTATTTTTTGTATTGCATCAGGATGTTTTTATTTATTTTTTCTACCATTTTCTCATGATTTGTGTTTCATGATTGGGGTGAGAGTGGGGGAGACTCTTAGGGGGTCTGCAGCAGTCTAGAAATAAGAATTTTTTTTTTATTTAGTGCGAGAAACTGGCTACCGGATCCCAATGGGGATAGTGCTGTAGGTGCTGGATGGTTCCGCTAGCGATGAACCAACCAAAACTTGGACGCAAAAGTAGGCGTGGGAAAAGGTTACACCGAACTCAACCAAATTTTGTACTTTTTATTGGATAGGAAGTGACTACTACTAGGATGTGTTTCTACAGCGTGAGCTGAATTCTTAATACCCCGCGTTCATAGAGTGGCACCAACATTGTAGAAATGGGTCAAAAAGTGGGCCAACGAGATGTGTATAGAAAAACACTATTGAAAAACTGAATAATTTTCTATGAATCTTGGCATTATATGAAGGGTTATTGGGAGAAACTCTAATAAAACCTTGTATCATATTATCATATGATACCTACAATATTATGATATATATCACTAAATCACTTAATTGTTTACAATTAATTGAAAAAATTAAGTTTTTCTTTTTTCTTTTCTTTTCTGATATCATAATATCATGTTAGTATACTAACCTATATAATATTATATATGGAAAAATAAAAAAATAAAAAAAAGAGGACCTCCATGTATCATAAAGGAAAAGTACCAGAGGACTCTAAAAGGGTCATGTAAATAAATACATGTGAAATAAAAAAGTCATTATCATAACGGATACGAAGTAATTTAGAAAGGAATTTTTTTTTTTTTTTTTCAAAAGTGGGACGCCTTAGGACTGGCCGGGCCATTATTATAAGTATGATATTATGATAATATTATTAGCGCGGTTTAAGCAGATTTTTTGCGTTAAGGACAAAATAACTGTTAACGGCTGATCATCACATGGGTGTGTCAGTGAGGAATATAAAAGGGAAAGCGGATAAAGGACAGTTAAAAAGTGGGGGAAAGAATAAGGCTTTTTTTTTTTTTCTCTTTTCTTTTCTTTTCTTGTTTGATATCATAGTTTGGTGGATCTATTTTTTGGTAAAGAAACGGGGAGGGAGTGAAGTATCATAATTATTATGTGGAGAAGGAAGGAAAAAAAAAAATGAAAAAGGGCCGGATTTTCTCCATTTCTTGCCAGCTTTCTAGATATCATAATTATATCTCTTTTCCTCTTTTAATTTTTTATTCTTTTGCTCTAAAATCTGTGTGCATTTCCCATTTTCCGGGAAGAACTCTCTTTTCTTTCCTTTTTCTATCTTCGGACCCCGTCAGGCAGGCAGGCGGGCAGGCAGGCGGGCACTTTTTTTTATATGCGTGGCCCAGATGTATTCCGAAAGATGTCAGAGAATTATACAGCGATGAGTCTTTCAGAACCCTACACGCCGAACATGTCTCCGGGAACAAATTACCGTATCATACCGTTAGAATTATTCTTTTTTTACCTTGGCCGTGATGAGCGCCGCTGATTCCTTACATGCGCGCTGCGATATCATGCCAGGGTAGATTGTCAGCCACGATATGGTAGGCGCGGAATGTGCTGGGGGGAGAGGAAGGAAGTAAGTAAGTAAGAGGAAGAATGCGAGTGATAGGTGGTGTAGGATATATTTTCCCCCATTTCCATTTTTCATTTTCGGTTTTTCCGAGTTCTGGTCTTGGTTGGGTATGATATCATACCGAATTTGGTGAGTTGGCTGGAGTCCGGTGGATTTCGCTGTGATATTATTATATTGGGGATGAGGGTTAGAAGTGCGCGGGTGATGGTGATATCGTATGTCTGTACTATGGTATCACGGTAATATGGAATACTGTGCCCGTGGTGGGACCGATGCGCGCTCCAAAGGGTGGTAAGCGGGATGTCATATCAAGCTAGGCGAGACGATAAGATGTTGTCGGGAATCTGAGGTTCGGGTTGGTCCGCAGTGATTTGGTGCCCGCCCGGTATGCGTATCATATTTTTAGTGATTATAAAGGTCGCAAACAACCTATATGTTGGTAAATAATATGATCATGTTCCTGAAAACGTGAGTGTTCGGTCTGACCAGGATATAATACTTGTAGATGCTAAGTAATATCCTAGTTTAATTGAGAAACCCTCATTCTCATTGTACTACCCTTATGTTGACAGTCATATTCAATCCAATAACTTGTGTTATTGAGAAATATGCAATAAAAAGTATGATATATACGAAGGCAATAGTAAAAGTGTAGTGTATTTTTAAGCCACGCCGGGCGCCCCCTCAATATAAATGTCTTAGGAGAAATTTATGGCATTGGAACCGCTTTTATGGCATAAAAGTGGGATACCGAACAGGCCCTATAATAATCTCCCGCACAAAATCGTCTGAAAATGCGCCAAGTCCAATGCACCCCACTGACCTGGCCCTCTCGACCATTCTTCAGCCAGTTTAGGTACGGAGCTCTAACAGGTCGGATCGGTGGTTGGAAGGTTATGAAGGTGGGTGCTTTCGGTGGAAACCCTCACGTTCGTGTTCTTTTTGGCGCAAGCCTCATGGAGTACGCACGGTTTAATGCCCGCGAGATCTCTTGAAGGATTCGCCATCATATATCCGCGTCCGCAAAGTTCCAATACCCTCCCATGTACCACTAGCCCTTGGGAAGGCTTCGCTAACCTGACTCTTTCTCTCCATCCCCGTAAGACAAATTCTTATCTAGAAGGCTCCTGCTGTTCTGTTGTTAATGGGTAAGTTATCATGGTATTATGACATCATAATTATCATTATCATTCTGGAGATGCAAGGGAGGGTATGGGGGCTTTGCGGATGTGGCTGTGGGTTTGGCTTGAGATTCAATATGCAAAGAGGGCTCGGCTTATACCGTTCCAGGGCTTCTTGCCCGGGTCGGGAGATCAGAGAGCTGTTGGAGATGGCGGATTACCGGACCGGTTCTAGGAAAAGGTCTCAGGCCCAGAGAATAGCACTATTCCAATTCCAAAGCATTCGGATGCCTTATTGCCGGGATTGGTATCAATCATTAACAGGGTGTCCGGATACCATGCTGTGCTTTAGAAACAGGTCGTGGCACGGTCCTGCTGGTAGAGCAAACAAGGAAGATACCTTACCTCACCTTACATTACCTTATTCATCGCGTCGGGGCACTTTCTCTCCTCCCCTGGCTGCCAGGTAGCCCGGGCGGGGGGGGGAGTATCATAAAGTTACAAGCACTCCATGTCCCGATATCTCCGGTTTTACCCGATATCCCGGGGGAGTGGGCGCCGTCCGTGATCAATTTCCGCATGCAGCGGCCGGTAAGTCGAGGGAAAAGAGAAGAAAAATATTTCCCTGACAGGATCTATCATACGCAGGCGTGGGTGGTAATTTTATTAACAACAATAACAACAGGGGGTTTAAAAAGCTGTTGGGGCGATCTTTGACGCCGCTTCCTCTGATGCCAAGATGTGCAAGACTTCGTAGCCGGCGCTTCTGTCCGTCCACTGCTCTACAGCTCTGCCGCAAATAGCTTGGGTGGACGGTGGTAGGGAGGTATGATAGTTGTTGAAGAGAGTAAGTTAAGCGTGTTGACGGCTTCATTCGCTCGTTCCCGTGTGACAGAGGAATTCACAGCCCGACCCGAAGTGAAAAACATGATGCAAGTTTTTCGAGGTTGGAGGAGCTTGCCTTCACCAATTCTCACGACCGAGTTACAGTACCCCCATGTGTGTGCAACACTTTTCCTTTTCGCACCCAGTGCGGATTTGGGGTATCCACTCGAAACTTGACCCTCGGGAATCCCCCGCGGTGCATCGGAACAGGGGCGAAAAGCAGCAAATGGCGAGCCGGTCGCCCCCTCAGGAAGACGTGAAAAAAACGAAAAAGTGCTCGAGTACCAAACATTATAGGAGGAGGTGACTCTAACGACATAGCAGTTTGCCCAATTATTCGGGTTTCTACGGTATTAAAACGGGAGTATTGTACAGTACTCGAGTGGACGGTTCGATTTGATCGATTGATCGATTGATATTTCTTTTATTTTTATTTTTTTTGCTTGGCAGGGATTGGGAAATGGCTGTGGGGGCATAGATAGGGTTTGGGTTTTTTAGAATTTCATCGCGTCACCTGTATTTGTCGCTTTCTTAGCTCGCCAGGAGAACTTTGCTCTGCTCGACTGGTACAGTATGATAGCGGTAGTTGTTAGCAGAGCATTTGACGGGAAAACTGGTGTGATCAACAGGGGTAGACTATCATAGTTGGCAGGAAAGAGATTTTAGTGGGTCAAAGTACGAGTGATACTCGAATACCGTAGGGTATTTAACAGGAACTACCTAAATTAGCATATGCCGCTCCCTGTTCCTCACCCGCCGCTTTTCCTCTTGCCCTCCCCCCTCCCTCGCTGAAGACGGCGGCTCAGTGTATTGTATGAGTATTCGTACAGTACTGTACCGCTACCGGTACCGGTGCCGTACCGGTATAGGGTAGTCTAATACGGTGGATGTCTTCTACCGGTCGCTCCAAAGCAAGGGCTCCCGACAAGACAACGCCTACCGTACCTTTAGTAGAAATATCAGGCCAACCTCATGCCATTAACCGCGCTAAAAAGAAGCGAAATCTACACACGAGTTACTTGTGAGGGATACATATGATACGAACTCCCGTCTTTTTTCTGCTCTTGGATGGATGGCGAACCCAGCAGCCAGTCGCTGGCTGAGCTCATCAAATGTTTCGCCCGGATTAACGAGGCTGCAGTGTCTTGGCGACTAGGCGCCAAGTGAGCCAAGCCAACGCCAAGGAATGCCGAGGAACGGCCAAGCTAAACGAGGCTGTTATAGGATTAGACGCCAAGCGACATGACTTGGCAAGGCTGTGTGGAGGCCCCAATCCATCGTGCCCCCCCATCCACCCTCTCCACTCCTCAGTACCCAACCCCGTAGACAATGTGCTCGAGTAGACATACATAGACTATCATCAGGAAAAACGGGCCTTGTCAGTGTTATCTCTTTCCCCTTCCCCTTCCCCTTCCCCCCCCCAAATTCGTTGACCTCCCATCCCACAGCTGGCTGTGATCCCCAGTCCGGCGACGGCGGCGCCCGTCGCCCCATCTACCCCTGCCGTTCCATCGAAGGAGGACACGAATCTCGCTTGTCAATGGACTTCGTGTCAAGAGAAGTTTGAGACTCCCGAGGATCTTTACGTATGTTGCTCCCATTCTCTTTTTGTGCCGACGTTGAGGCAAGCCTTGGCGGACGTGTTGTTTCGAGAAAGAGGGTACTTTTAGAGCGCGGGGGGAAGGAGGGGTTTTTATCCTTCCTTCTCAAAGTCTCGGCATCCTCTTTTTTTTCTTTTCATTTTTCTCTCTTCCTCCCTATACAATCGCGGGGAGATCTTTTTTTTTTTTTTTTTTTCCTTTCTTTCTTTCTCTCCGTGGCTTTTCGCTAACATATTTTTCTCCCTCGCTTCTGGCGGGTTTTTACCCCTCCTTTTTTTTATTTTACAGAACCACCTTTGTGATATCCACGTCGGGCGTAAGAGTACCAATAATCTCTGTTTGACGTGCGCCTGGGGCACTTGCAGAACTACTACCGTCAAGCGGGATCACATCACCTCGCACATCCGCGTCCACGTTCCGCTTAAGCCGCATAAGTGTGAATTCTGTCAGAAAGCTTTTAAAAGACCTCAGGATCTAAAGAAGCATGTGAAGGTAGGGGAGCTCTTTCGCTAGCCACTTGAAAAGAAAACACTTTGTTTTACTTGCTATTCCTCCAATTCTCGGGTTCCCCCGCTGACATCGCTTTATCGGCGCCATGTTCCACAGACACATGCGGACGATTCTGTCCTGCTCCGTTCTCCTGAGCCGGATGGGTTAGGTAGGAGGGCATCCGCCGTTCACCAAGCTCGGGTTTGTTCATCCTCCACCCCTCATGTTCCCGCAAATGAAAGCTTATTGTGCCTTTCAATGCAGGGAGATAATGTTCATGGTCAGTATACCACCGGTGCGGGAATGCAACGTGAGTTTTATTACTTTGCTGTCTCTGTTTTCGTTCCCCTTGAAAATTTGGCCACGAACTTTTATGCTAAGACCCTTCAAGCTCTAGCTGCGACTGCTGCGCAGGCGTATTACGGTATGCATTGCATCTTGCTGGATTACCCTCGTGCGTTTCCTGATGTTTCACTAGGTATCGGCGCATATTACCCCGGCCCCAACCAAGCGCCCGGAGCCGCTCCAGTATATTACTACAACGCTCCCCAGGCTCCCCAGCAAGACATGGCCCAAGCGGCGCCTCTCAGCGAGAATAATAAGAAGCGCAATTATGATGGGATGGATCAGTTCTTCGATGACGCTAAGCGACACAAGATCCAACCGGTTTACGATGGAGCCATGGCGCAGAGGCTCTCTGCATTGCAATTCGTTCCGACCACTAGTGAGGGTGTTGATTTCAACGGGCATCATGCGCCCACCGTGACTGCGTCCCCATCGGCCCAGACTCAATTCACCCTCCCGTCGCTCCGGACGAAGCAGGACCTAATTGACGCTGACAACTTCCTCACCCAATTGTCTGCTAATGTTTATGAGAACCCTGCCGCGGCTACCGCAGCTGGCGTTCCGGCCGGTGGAGCGCATTTTACTCAACAGTATCGCCCTAACCAACCATCTTCCCCGCACGGCACTCCTGCTGCCCAACCGCAACAGCATAGTCCTAGCCATACTCCTGTTGCGCACGATACTACCTCGACCACTGCACCGACTATACCCGCTACCTCTAACTCGACTGGTACTCCCGCTTTGACCCCACCCAGTCAACAACACTCAACACCTCCTACCGTCTCGCCTCAGACTTCGGCCTCGATGTACCCAACTCTCCCGGCTGCGGTTACCAGCAGTGAGATGTCTGCTGGATATCCCGCACCAGTTTCCACTGCGCCCCCCACTTCCCTCGGGCCAACTTTCGAGTCTGAACAGCGCAGGAGGATTAGCGTCGGTGTATTACAGAAAGCTTCGAGATCCTCAGAGGATACCGACGTCGATATGGGAACCGATGATATCTTTGGCAACTTAAAGAAGAACGAGATCAGCAGTAGCCTCATCGATCCCGAGCTTGGCGCGTTGTCTGGAGAGACAATGCAGCAGCAGCAGCAGCAGGAAGAGGGTCCCCCGGCAGCAGCCGAGAAGGACGAGATCGTCTCCTGGGAAAGGAACATTGGTGTCATCAATAGTCTTCGCGATTACGTTAAAGAGCTATTGAGGGAGGAAGATGAGAAGGAAAAACGTGGTGAGGGGGAGGATCACATCATGACGGACCACGATGGCGGTGTCGACGCATCAAACGTAGACCAGCAGCCACAGGAGGAGGGCGGAAGTGATGAGCGTGCCAAAGAGGAACAAACGGATGCTCAGGCCCTCTACCCGGTTCTGAGGGCTGTCGCCGTAGCTTGATAACTTTTTCATGATTTATCCCTTCTTTATCGGACGATCCATAGCGGGGTCATGAAGTTATGATGGTTGTACCAGCAAGAGTGGAGGGGTTAGGTAGAGGAGGAGGTGAAGGGTACTATTCAGGCTTCGATTTTCGTTTCATCTCTTTTGCTTTTCTCCTCCTGTCTTCAACCTCCCTCCTTTTCTCATTTACTACTACGATGGCTGGAGCTTTCTCTTCTTCTCCTTTCCTTTGTTCAGTTCTGTTGCATTTCCTTCAACCTTCCCCACCCCATCCTTCTATCCGTCTCGCCTCTGGATGAATGGGTTGGAAGTTCCGCGCAGGCCGGCCGTCTGTCCCATCGTGAGGAAATAAAGGGCGGAGGGAATAGGGAGGATTTTCAGTAAACTACTTACACTCTTCGTCGTGAATGTCTGTTCTTCCTTGTTTGCTTGCTCACCTGTTCTTTCTGTTTCTTAGACAGAAAACTACGAAAAAAATACTATTTCTCCCCCCCCTCCTCTTTATATTACAAAATGGAATATTTTCTTGCCCCCTTTGCTCTCTCTACTCTTGTGTTCTCAACCCCTTGACACTGGGGTTTTTCTTCTTTGCCTGTTTTGCGTTTTAGTTATTTTATTTGTTACGGGTTATTTCTTTCATGTAATTCTTTTCTTCTTTTCTTTATTAGTCGTGTGTTGGTAAAACAAATGGTTGTCTACTCAGTCTGAATTTTTAATGATCGTGGGTCCATTGGGTGATCGCAGGCGGTATTATGGTGTCGTACCGGATGTTAGTGTGGTAGAATGGTATGCCGTGAAGAATTGGGGAAGGTGGGTAGAGTGCGGTGAGAGTCTGACAGAAGTTTTTGTCGGTCCATGCAATAATGGGCGCACTCACAATTGATGATTGACAATCCACTATCATAACCGAACTACCGAAAACTTTAGAGATAAGACATATAGATAGCAAAGATGCAGTAAAAGTAAAAGAATTTAATAATATTGAGTATAATATCCAAAATTGCACCTATCATCCGAAACAAAGATTGCCATAACTTTTCTAAAAAATGCCTCTCAATATCTTTAACTTGAGCCTTATTAAGAATTTCTATTATGCTGAGTATCTCTTAACAGTATTTGGACTTGCATTAGTTTTATTAATATTAGGAAGTATTTTATACAACTTATTCTAGAATTTATATTAGGTAAATGGGAAGTTTATTTTAGAACATGTATTGTTTTATTCCAATCAAATTATAGTATTTGTTACAGTGTATACATTTGAATTATCCTATTATTCAAAAATAGGATTTTGAATAATTTCTTCTATTGCTTATAAAGTAGTATTTATATTAGCAAAAATAAGGTCTTATATTCTGTGTATGCTGTAATTATGCCAGTGATTGTATAATAGTAGGTAGTTTTAAGTCTGTTAGCATGTCATGCCTACAGTACACCTATCATATAACAGAATTCTATTATTTCCTACTACTATTACTAGCTTGATATTAGTTCTTACCTACTTAGGATTCTAACTAGTAGTACATATGTTTTCCTTCTACTTAAACTTACCTATATGGTTATAATTTCATTGTTTGCTTATATGTATCTTTGTTATACTACCTCCTACTTAGGTATCTCCTGTTACTACTGTTTTTTTACTAAATAAGTATAATAGTAGTGACTGCTTGCTTTATCTTATTTGGATTCCATTGCTTGTTTAGTTAATTTTTTTCAGTTACTTTAAGTTCTCTGCTTTAGGACTTTGCTCTGTTTTACCTTTCATTACTATGTAGTATTATTGTATGTTTTCCTTGAACAGAATACTATTGTTATATTTCCTATCTACTATAATTTCTTAAGAACTTAGTTTCTCAAACATTATAGAAATGCTTTTCTTAGTATACTACAAGTTGAATTGTCACTTGATATTCTTCTCAGTGTTACCATCTACTTAGAAGGATGTTTATTGATACTTTACATTTTATTTATCTAACATATTTAGCAATTTTTACTCGCCTGCTCAAGAGCCTAACTGCTTAACTGAATTTTAGATACGTAATCTTTGTCTCAATAGTACTTCTCAACTGTAGTCGAGAAAATCAAAATAGTTATATGTCTGTGAATATCCTTCAACTCATCTTCTAAAGTAAGTTAAATTTGAAGTCCAGATATTCTTTACATTTTCTTTATATTATGAGATGTAACAGGAAAGGTAGACTTATATAAAATAGTACTAGTAGAGTAATTAGACTTAGTAAGTACTATAATTATAATATCTACTCCATTATTTATTAAATTTATATAAAAAAAGTTTAGATTAATAGTAATATAGATAGAGATAATAGTAGTAGTAACTTGAATATTATAGGTATATATATCTAATACTCTTTCGATTAACTTAATCTTTTATGACTATGTAACCTTTTACAGAAGACTAGAACTATACCCATACCGTAGTCAAGAAACTACAGAAATAGAAGTAGTGGTAAACTAGTGTCTACCAAAGAGAGGTACTGGTGGTTAGGTATCTCAAGCGGACAAGGTCCCATCTTAGTAGCGGTACTTAGGTACTAGTAAGGAAGAGGTGGTTACTCTACTGGGTAGGGTAACCTAAGAAGTCAATTTGAGAGTTACTCTGAATCACTTAATAGTATGTCAGGGTAGATTTACCCTACCTTACGATTAAAGTTACCCTATTATGGAGTCAAGTTACCCTATCTTGAAAGTAACTTGTTATGTAGGAATTCTGGGAAAGTTACTAGATTGTTTGCCATGAGAAACTATATAGGCAGTTCAAATCTCAAGTTGTGGGGTGTACTCCTATACAAGGAGTTGAGCTCCAAAGAAGCTGTAACTTGGAGGTGTAGTGGCTAACACTCCCCTCTGGCCCTGTTACAAGTCCCTAGCAGTATAGGCTACAGCCTGGAGAGTTGCTGTAAGTCTAGTAAAAGTCTATTGGCAGAGACTTTCCTGTAACACCGTATATGCTCATGCCGTCTGGTTGACTGGAAGCAGTCTGCAGAATACATGAAGGGGCAGAGAAAAAACTGAAGAATGGTCTCCAGGTTGTTTCGTACAAAATGGACCAGAACAGATGGAGTAATACCACTTTGAAGTTAGCAGTAGTATATGAGATTACAGGAGGCCTATAGATGAGGTAACAAAGTCCATTGTCCCGAAAGTGTAATAGTATTAGAGAATCATTAAGAACTTTAAGATACTAGTTTAAGGTCATGATGAGACCAACTTCTAGGAGGGCTGACTGTGGGTAGTACTTATTGGTAGTCAACCTTTGAAGGAGTCAATCAGGGGATCCATGTGGCTTTCATTGGGAATGATATTGTAACTGGTATGGGTACTTTATTATTGGTTTTGTTTTATGTTTTGTTTTAAGTATTGATTTGATATTGGGTTTGTTGTAAGTATTGTTTGATACTTGGTTTTGTTTTATATTTTGTTTTAAGTATTGCTTTTATACTTGGTTTTGTTTTATAGTTTGTTTTAAGTATTACTTTGATACTTGGTTTGTTTTAAGTATTGCTTGATACTTGATTTTATTTTATGTTTTGTTTTAAGTATTACTTTGATACTTGGTTTGTTTTAAGTTGTCACGAATGTGGCTTGGTACAGGAAAAGGTTTTCACATGACTCATGATTATAAGTCATAGGCAAGTTATTGTTTTATGCATATGACTCATTTGGGTCATATGACCTATTATGTTATGATTTGTTATGCTTCGCACATGACTCGATTATGAGTCATGAGATGTACGCATGGTGAGTATGACTTGTGAGTATGCCTTGCAGGTATGCCTTGTGCATATGATTTATGTTTTGCATATGACCTCGTTATGAGGTTATGGGTTTCATGCATATGACTCATTCGAGTCATATGACTTGTTTATTGCGTTATGATTAGTTTATGAGTTTTCGCATATGGCCTTACTATGAGGTCATGGGTTTCAAGCATGTGACTACTTTGGTCACATGATTAGTTTGTTATGATTTGGTTTTGCACATGTGATCACATTGGGTCACATGACTATGGGCGGGAAGAACACTAAATAAGGAGGCAGATGTGGCTGAGAAGGATAGGTTCTTCACGCTTTGTTCTAAGTACTTTTCCTCGTCCTTGCCATTACTTCACCCTGAGTATTTCTTTCACACCCATGATGGGCCTTGATGTCTCGGATTCTGGGGGAGATATTTGAGTTCGCTCAGGAGTTCCTGGGGTCTTTGGTGTTGGGGTCTGTAGACGTTGTATGGCGGATTACTTGTTTGCTTCTCGTGTCGTCACTTCATGGTTTCTCACAATGCTGTCACTTCGAGCACTTCATCACAGTTGCTTATGAGCCCCTTTTAGTAAAATGTTTTCAGCTTCCTGTCTATTGTCTACTTGCAGGTTTCACGTTCGATTGAGGGGAATAGAACATGGTGTTTGGGGGGATCACCTGTGTCGTTCTTTGGGCCAGCTCATGATGTTGGGTTTTAACGGAGTCCTTAGTTCTTGCAATACAAAACACCCTTAGGTTAGACTGATGACCTTCCCAAGTTCAACTTGTCATACTGGCCACATCATTCCTCAGGTGGCAGAGCAGTACCTGCCTAGCCCTTCCTTGTTACATTACGTTTCTATGGTTGGAATCCTGCGATGTTGTTTATTACTGTTCCCTTGGAAGTTTTATCCTTATGGCATTTACGGTGGTTCAGTCAGATGTCTCCTCCCTGCCTTAGTGGGGATAGCATTGACTCTGAAAACTCTTACCCCCTGGTGTGGTAATTGTTACTACCTGGGGTGGTGTGGGATGATTGGCTGCCAGGCACTCATGTTGTCTGCGCATTGGGGTGGTTCAGTTGTGGATTGTGGTTGGCGGCTTCACCCATTGCAAGTGGGGCCTTGTTAGGCGGAGACAACCTGATAGACTTCAGAGTTGTCTAGGCCGATCGAGATTCGTTTTTATAGATGGAGATTGTCTAGGAAGGCTCGGACTTCACTCGTTTCGTTTATGACTACTAAGAGCGAAGTAAAGTAGGGTAAAGTAAAGTAAAATCGTAAGAACAATATTATATTGTTAAGGTCTCTTCTCCGTTGCTTGATGATATCTAAAGCTTGAGAGGCACTTCGATATTTATATTCCGCGTCTGAGTGTTCGCGGACTACATCTAACTAACATACAACCATGTACCTTTTTCCAATATAACTCGCAATGTCGGGTTTTCTTCCAATGTGCGAACACCTGGAGACCCTGAAAATCATCACACCCTCTTTGATAACTATAATATGACTATTTGGAAGTCATGCTGTTTCCAATAGTAATTATCTGATGGTGAGAGTCTTTTTAGACAAATGGCCCAATTCTCAAGTCGAACTATGTTGGCTCCAATCGTCTCCCTTGTCGATGAAATGATCAGTTTCATCTGCGGGTTGCATCTACGAAGATAGTTGTTATTACCGACTTTCTAGGTCATCTAACTTCAACTCTTCATAACTCCATACCCAACTGATAGGTCTTTTCCGGAGGACTTCCTACTTGCCTGTAGGAAGCCTTTCCATAGGATTGGTAGATAATCCCTCGGTCGGTAACCCTTGGTTGCCGTGGGTAATAGGATTCTGGTTACTGTTACCGGTTTGGGAGTCACCCCTTCGGTTGCAGTATGTACCGGAACCTAGTTGTAACACTCCTCGAACTTCATTGGGTTCAATGGTAGTATTCTCAGGAG